TGTGTCTACTGGCAACTTGTGAAATTTGTATATTTGTTGATGCTCTACCCTTGCATTTTTGTTTCTTTATACATTATATAAAAGGAGCTGCGGTGGCTCAGGTGGTTAAGACGCTGAACTGCAGGCTGTGGAAGGTCGGTAGTTCAGCCGTTCGAGACCCGAGTGTGCCGCATGACGGAGTGAGCTCCCGTCTCTAGTTCCAGCTCCTGCCAACCTAGCAGTTCGAAAGCAAGAAACTGCAAGTAGATAAATAGGGACCACTTCGGTTGGACGGTAACAGCATTCCGTGCACCTTGGTGTTTAGTCATGCCGGCCACATGACCACGGAAACGTCTCCGAACAGCGCTGGCTCTTCGGCTCTGAAACGGAGATGAGCACCGCAACCCTAGAGTCGGACTCAACTGGCTTTTGAGCAAGGGAACCTTTACCTTTACCTATACATTATATACACTTGGGGTCCCTATTGTTTGGTTCAACTTTCCTCCAGCATGATTGTCTTTCCCAGGGAGTCCTGACTTCTCTTGATGTGACCAAAGTACGATAGTTGATTGATCTTAGCTTCTAGGGAGAATTCACGATTGATTTGATCCAAGTGTTTGTTAAGAGCTGTTGAGTTGCTTTCGATATATCAGTCTGTGACCTCCAAAACACCCCATTGTTATCAGCCTTGCTCAGGTCTTGTGACCTGAGGGCCGTGGCTTCCTTGAGTCAATCCATCTTGTGTTGAGTCTCTCATCTTGTGTTGGCTTTTCCTCCTACCTTCACACTGTTGTTAAGTTTTAATTAAGTGCGCGGACTCTCATCTGGGAGAACCAGGTTTGATTCCCCACTCCTCCACTTGCACCAACTGGATGACCTTATATTCACAGAAGTTATAAACTCCTCTATATAATGCCCCGTACACATATTACTATTGTTAAAAATTATCTTAAAATAGAACAAAATCATACAACATATAACGATGCAATACAATAATTATTATGTGGTGAATATTAAGTAAGCCCCCCCTCTTTTCATGTTTTCTCACCTTTTCAAACACTTCATTTCAATATGGTAATTCATGTATAACATTTCAATAACTTCTCTCTTTCCTTCCCAGTAATTAAATGAAATATGAATAATAAGTGTTCCATTTACCCTGGAATTCTTTGATCAACTTCCAACCAATTTCTTATTGAAAAGGCAGGTCTTCAAACCCACCAGGAAGGCCTCGGTGGAAGCAGACGTTCTCAGCTCATGTGGACTGGAGTTCCAAAAGTTGAAGGCAAGCGGGGCTTCTTCTTCCTCTTCTTCCTCTTCTTCCTCTTCTTCCTCTTCTTCCTCCTCCTCCTCCTCCTCCTCCTCCTCCTCCTCTTCTTCTTCTTCTTCTTCTTCTTCTTCTTCTTCTTCTTCTTCTTCTTCTTCTTCTTCTTCTTCTTCTTCTTCTTCTTCTTCTTCTTCTTCTTGAAAACCATTGAATTTCTAGAGATTCCTAGAGGGGAAGGGAAAGGAGTTTGTAAGCCGCTCTGAGACACCTTTGGGTAGTGAAGGGCGGGGTATAAATCCAATCTCTTCTCTTCTCTTCTTAATTAATTGATGCCTGAACTGAGTCTAAACGTCTAACTACAGATCCTTCAGGGCAGGCCCATAGCCAGGGTTTTAAAAAAAATTGGGGAGGCTTTAAATAAGTCGGGGGCACCCTGCACACACCCCAAAACGAGCACCACAAATAAAAAATTGGAAGTTAGGGGGCCTGGGCTGGATGGGAAGTCGGGGGGCCTTGGCAGCAAGTCATTGGGCTGGGCCCCGAGGTGCCCCCCCCCCGGGGCTATGGGCCCGCTTCAGTTTAATTTGCAATCAGGGCAAAATGGAGGTAACCACCTTCTAGGGTTGCCAGCCTCCAGGTGGGGCCTGGGGATCTCCCGCTTTTACAACTGATCCCCAGCCGACAGAGATCAGCTCCCCTGGAGAAAATGGCTGCTTTGAAGGGTGGACTTTGTGGCATTGTACCATGCTGAGGCCCCTCCCCTCCCCAAACCACGCCCTCTCCTGGCTCCACCCCCAAAGTCTCCAGGTATTTTCCAACCCAGACTTGGCAACCCTACCACCTTCCCTTTTTTTTAAAGCATTCCCAACATCTTTTACTCAGCTATACTGCCTCTTGACAACTCTTGACTTAGTTGGCACAGCTCATAACTGTCAATGACCCTCTCCAGCCCGCCTCGCTAGGTAAATAAGTAGATCGACGGAGCGTGTGGGAACATCGTTACGACCGTCACCCGTCGAGGATGGGTCAGTCTGAAATTTCCGCTCGTGCACTTTATTTGAAAACTGTACCAGCACTTTAGGATAGCGATTTGTGTGTTTTAGGATTAACCGATCTGTTTTGGTTGATTAGATAACGATGAATTTTATGATGGGTTTTAATTGTGTTTTATACACTGTGTAAGCCGCCCCGAGCCTGCTTTGGTAGGAAGGGCGGGGTATAAATCGAATAAAATAAATACATAAATAAATAATAAATAGCTGCCCGTTGCCAGTCAGAACAGTTATCGGCCTGTGTTGTTTTTCTTCTTCACTGTGCATCCAGGTAGATCCTCAGGACGTGATGAACTGTCTCACCAGCCGGACAATTATCACGCGGGGGGAGACCGTTTCTACCCCCCTCAGCATGGAGCAGGCTCTGGACGTGAGGGACGCTTTTGTAAAGGTCAGGACTGGGTCACACTTGTGGCTCTGTTTCTCTTGTCCCCTTCTTCCTCGGTTATGGAATCATTAGAAGTAATAATTAATAATAATAATAATCATCATCATCATCATCGTACGGCAGTGTGTGTGTAGTATAGCCAGGAGATCCTAAGATTGTCCGGCAGCCAGAAGTTCTAGCTCTTTTAGCGTTATGTACCACTAAGGTACATAAGGAGCTGCGGTGGCTCAAGTGGTTAAGATGCTGAACTGCAGGCTGTGAAAGGTCAGTAGTTCAGCAGTTCGAGACCCAGGTGCCGCATGATGGAGTGAGCTCCCGTCTCTAGTTCCAGCTCCTGCCAACCTAGCAGTTCGAAAGCAAGAAATTGCAAGTAGATAAATAGGTACCACTTCGGTGGGAAGGTAACAGCGTTCCGTGCGCCTTGGTGTTTAGTCATGCCGGCCACATGACCACGGAAACGTCTTCGGATAGCGCTGGCTCTTCAGCTTCGAAACGGAGATGAGCACCGCAACCCTAGAGTCGGATTCGACTGGCTTTCGAGCAAGGGAACCTTTACCTTTACCACTAAGGTGGCGAGCTAGACTTTTTTCTTTTAAAGGCAAGAGATGTTTCAGAGGTGGTTTGCCATTGCCTGCCTCTACGTCATGCCCCTGGTATTCCTTGGAGGTCACCCATCTAAATACTAGCCATAGAACTTGTGCGGTGTGGTGATTAGATTTGGGAGTCCCCGGGTTCCAGTCCCCACTCTACCAATGGAAGCTTTCAGGGGGACCTTAAGCCAGTCCAATATTCTCAGCTTAATTTACCTCACAGGGTGGCTTTTGTGGAGATAAAATGGATGAGAGGAGAAGACCATCAGCCGGTTTTGGTACAGCGATTCTTAGGGCTACCTATTGTCACTTCCAGTGGTCCAGTGAGGGGGTAGGGTTGGAAAACTGGAGATTTTGGGATGGAGCCTGAGGTAGACAGCATCCTCAGTGGGGTACGATGCCACAGAGTCCACCCTCCAAAGCATCCATTTTCTCCAGGGAAACCGATCCCTGTAGTCCAGAGATGAGCTGTAATTCCTGAGGATCCCCAGGTCCCACCTGGAGGCTGGCATCCCTAAGTTGCCAACCCCCAATGTCCCCACCCCCCGACAGCCAGGCCTCCAACCCAAATTTCATCAGCTGGCCAGGTTCAGATAGGAAGAGGTGGTCCTTCGTATGCCTTAGTCTCCCAAGCCATCGAGGGCTTTATGTGTCAGAACCAGGACTTCAGAATTCGGCCTGGAAACAGACTAAAGGAAGGGAACTTCCTGATGAACCCTAAGCCTGGGTGAGGGTGGTGGGGAGAGAGATCTTTGTGATAAGAGGACACTTTGGCTGACCTGACTGACCATAAATGAGCCCTCGACAAGTTTTGGGCGCTACAATTTAAGAAGGATCTAGACAAGCTGAAACGTGTCCGGAGGAGGGCAACAAAGATGGTGAGGGGTCTGGAGACCAAGTCCTATGAGGAAAAGTTGAAGGAGCTGGGGATGTCTAGCCTGGAGAGGAGACGCCTGAGAGGTGATATGAGAACCATCTTCAGGTACTTGAAGGGCTGTCGTATAGAGGATGGTGCGGAGTTGTTTTCTGTTTTCGCAGAAGGTCGGACCAGAACCAACAGGTTGAAATTAAATCAGAAGAGTTTTCGGCTAAACATCTGGAAGAACTTCCCGAAAGTTAGAGCGGTTCCTCAGTGGGACAGGCTTCCTCGGGAGGTGGTGGGCTCTCCTTCTGGGGAGGTTTTCAAGCAGAGGCTAGATGGCCATCTGACAGCCATGCAGATTTTGTGAACTTGGGCAGATCATGAGAGGGAGGGCAGGAAGGGTTGCCTCAGTGCTTAGTTCTTGTGGCCCTTCCTTACACGCCCAGGAAATGCTGATCGCCACTCTGGGGTCAGGAACCAATTTTTCTCCAGGCCAGTTTGGCTGCAGTTCCTGAAGGGTTTTTATCATCTTCTCGGTGTGGAACAGGGGTCACTGGGGGTGTGTGTGGGGGAGGTATTTATGAATGTCCTGCATTGTTCAGGGGGTTGGACTAGATGACCCTGGAGATCCCTTCCAAGTTCCAACTCTATGATTCTATCATCTTTGTGTTTGTTGTTATTAAAATTTCACAACTACATTAAAAAAAATTATATGTTACTGCCTACTGCAAAGGATCCATGTAAGGAAAGATTCAGATTGATTGGTCCGATTAACTACCGCCAAACATACCAAATGGTTACTCTAGGCCAGGGAATATAATTTTCTTGGGAAAGTCCAGCTTCTAGATCTCACCAGGATCGTGATGAAGACCATTCTTTAGGGGGCAGACTAAAGTTGTATAAAATGGAAGATCTAAATGTGGAAACAAGAGAAAATACCAGAAATAGAAGATTGGATACAAAAAGTTCTGTTCATGGCAGAAATGGATAAAATAACAAGAAAATTAAACAACAAAGAAGACCAAGAATTTTTTGAAGAATGGGATGACTTCAAGATTTATCTAGAAAAAAATTGGGACATAAAAAGAAATTTACTTTGTTTAGATCAATATTAAGTATAAGATTGTTATCTTGGAATGTATAAGACTTTTGGACCACAGGGGAAACGCATTGCGGGAAGCCACAGGAGAGGAGGGAGGGAGATGGGAAACTGATTATAAGAAATTGTTTTTGAATATGTGAAATATATTAAGAAAATAAAAGTTTCTTGACCCCCCAAAAAAAAAAGCGGTATAAAACTCACCTCCACCCTTAACGTTTCCAGGGAATCTACGGAAGGCTTTTTGTGTGGATTGTGGACAAGATCAATGCGGCCATTTACAGGCCTCCTTCTCACGAGCACAAAAGCGTCAGGCGATCCATCGGGCTGCTCGATATCTTTGGCTTCGAGAACTTCGCAGTCAACAGGTAGAGATTTCACCACAGAGCATTTACGCCGCTCTACGAGACCTGGGGGGGGCAGTGTTCCCTCTAAGCTGAGTGAGTGTGAGCCAGCTCACAGTTTTTTTAGCCTCCGGCTCACACATTTTTGCCTTAGCTCAGGAAGGGATGGCTCCAGAGCAAACTAAATGATGCAGCGGCCCAATCACTTGTTCACAACTTTCATGCCAATGGCTCACAAAGTAGAATTTTTGTACTTGAGAGCCAGTTTGGTGTAGTGGTTAAGTGTGCGAACTCTAATCTGGGAGAACCGGGTTTGATTCCCCACTCCTCCACCTGCACCTGCTGATGTGACCTTGGGTCAGTCACAAGCTCTGGCACAGGTGTCCTTGAAAAAGAGCCCTTTGTGTCAGAGTTCTCTCAGCCCCACCCACCTCACAGGGTGTCTGTTGTGGGGAGGGGAAGGGAAAGGAGTTTGTAAGCCTCTCTGAGACTCCTTTGGGTAGTGAAGGGCGGGGTAGAAATCCAATCTCTTCTTCTACTTCTTTTACCTCACAGGGTGCCTGTTGTGGGGAGGGGGAGGGGAAGGAGTTTGTGAGCCGCTCTGAGACACCTTTGGGTAGTGAAGGGCAGGGTATAAACCCAATCTCTTCTTCTTCTTTTACCTCACAGGGTGTCTGTTGTGGGGAGGGGAAGGGGAAGGCGTTCTGAAGCCGCTCTGAGACTCCAAGTGAAGGGCGGGGTATAAATCCAATCTCTTCTTTTCTTCTTCTTCAAGACTTCACAGCTTAGAGGGAGCATTGGCGGGTGGGATATAGTTATGGGGGCTGGGTGTCAAGCCCCCATTGCCTTGGTGGGATGGAGAAGAAGAAGAGAAGAGATTGGATTTATACACCGCCCTTCACACTGAGTCTCAGAGCGACTTTCAAACTCCTTTCCCTTCACAACAGACAGCCTGTGAGGTGGGTGGGGCTGAGAGAGCTCTTGACCGAAACTGTTCTTTTTCAAGAACAGCTCTTATCAGAGCTACGACTGGCCCAAGGTCATCCAGCCAGGTGCAAGTGGAGGAGTGGGGAATCAAACCCGGTTCTTCCAGATTAGAGTCCGCGCACTTAACCACTACACC